AAGAAGCAAGAATCATCAGCTTTCAAACTCAACATTAAATTTTGGTAGTTAACGTACGACGTTATCTAATTTTTATCACATACCATTTTCTCATTCTCTCATGATGTTCGATTTTCTAGCAGAAATTTTTGGGCATCAAAGCCAAGACATGTCCATATATATGAGCTTCTTGCGAGGAGGTTTAGTTTGCTCTTTGGAGAACAGCAAAACGCAGCTAGTACTAGTGCTGGGATGAGCTGCTATATATAGGGCTTTATTTGGATTAATATATTCACAACACTAATGTAACCTACCTAGAAGGATATTGATGTTCAATCCACACGTTAACGTTTAATAGATGAACATAAGAAAAGCGAGAAATATGTGTGTGGTGTGGCGTGGAGCCTTAATATTGTGTCATCATTTCATGTGATCTTTCGTAAGCTCGTATTAATTGTCGTTCGCACGCAGCTCGGCCACAGGTAATCATCGACAGCGAAGGTTAAATTATTTACTTTTGTATTGCGCAGGTTTGAACGAGACCTGTTTAATTTCTTTCAATTTTCAATCAATATTAAGTTCTAAGCCGGTTTTAGCAACCCTTTTTCCCATTGCGTGTTTCGCCTGCAACTCGCGCTTGATTATCTGGAGCAGCTCGCAGCTTTCCTTTGCGTATCGTAAATAATTTACCAAATACTTCTTTCCACATCCTGATAATGGAAGAACGTATACACTAATTGTCGCATTAGAAGTCAAACTCGAGGAAACTTGATGGAATTTAGCCCATGAGAATTCATAGAAACTGATCCAAAACAAGCATGTGTCCAGATGGAAGAAGCAGAATCCTTTTTCATAGATGATTTTTACGGGTTTCAAACTAACATATCCTATTCAATATTAATTTAATTTGCGAGCGTAAGAACATATTTTTAGAGCGTGCATAGATGACATTCGAAATAAGGAAGATAATATATGAGGATGAAATTACAGAAATGTCATTGTAAGCAGTGTTCTGCAGTTTAGTAAGACGAATTATTACGCTTAAATAATATATTTTCGTAATATCCCTGTTTGGCTCCTGAATGACTTGTTACTAATGAATTATTCCCAATTCAGCAAAGATGCAATCAATATAAAAGTTAATATTTCTCAAACACAAAGTCAAATTTAGAGAAGTGTGAATACAATATTCAAGAAATGCAATTAGAAATGTTTGCCTTTAACGCTCAATCTCTTCGAGTGCACTAGCTGAAGCGTGCATGAAGCAGTTGCAAACAGTATATTTATTCGCCTTTAGATTGTTAGTTTCATTTTTCTAGTGATTGTGAGAGTATGTGCTAAGAGTAAATAAAAGTAAATTATATAATAAGAGTAAACTATATTTTGAGAATAAGCTGTATATTGAAAATACTGACAAAGATGTAAGTAAAGAACAGTTTTGAATTAGTTCATACGATTAATATTTTCGTAAAAACTATCAATGGTATAAGTTGGAAGCTTATCTCCTCAGTTGTGCGTGAACAATGAGTGTAAGCACTCACGACATTAATTTATTCTAAGAGTGCACAACTCAATACAAAATGTTGATCTAGTCGATCTCTGGCCCGAGTCTCCGGCAATATTGTGAATTGGTCGGCAAGCTGTTGACGCTCCAGGCCCTCTGCTTCCTACGAGGGAAGCTAATTTAATTGCCTTATTTTCTAGTGGGTTCGGCCTACCTGTAGTGAATAAACAAAAGTGTAGGAATGAAAAGAATAAAAATGCATTTTAAATAAAAAGCTAGATGAATATTTTGAAGCTTGCTTTTGAGACCAATTGAGAAATTAACGTTAAAACGTTCATCCTTTTAAAGATTTCTGTTCTAAATTCGATTAAGTTTGATTTCACTTGAAGTGAAAATTTTATTGACCTTAAAATGAACTATACGTCAGTGATTAATGCGCCTGAATTACTGAATAACTTCATTATTATAACTTCATTATTAAAGGTAATTGATCCGACAAAATCTAAATACAATCGACCAGAAACTTTAATTAAGAAGTAAAAAGTAAAAACTGGTTCAAAGTAGATGTACAAGGTGATTTATGGAAGCTTCCTGATTTGAGAGCTCAAGGAATAAACTAGTAAAGATATCAATACCATATGAATTTTATTGAAAAATACATCATCTGAATTTTTGTTTCATTTAGTTTTAGGGATGACATCGGATAAATGACGGCCCTCATTGTGAATGGATTCAGTTAGTCGATTTTTGAAGTTCCGCTCAACTCGCTGAAGCATAACGATGGGTGTGTTGGCGATGGCTTAACGTATGTTGTTCTTCAAATGAGGTAGGGTCCTTGGACAGTCGTTGTAAACAATCGATTTAAGATAACCCCATAAAAAATCATACGGAGTCAAATCGGGGGATCAGTCATGACAAAGAAGGTCACCTCTCAGGGAGATGAGGCTAAATCATCAGAATAACAGCATGTTTACTTGCTGAACGGTGTGGAGAACGCAGAAACGCTTCTCTACTTTTTTCTACGTTTACAGGTGTTGTGGCAGTCCACTGACCCCCAGACCCTCTTGCATTCACACTTCCACTTGCCCTAAATTTATTCACCCACCTAACAATCGATTTTCGATCAGGAACCCAACCTGAAGGACGAATACGGAACCGAGTGCGGAATGCTCGTTGAGTAACGATAATGAAACAGCCATTAAAAAATACGCCTGCTCACGACAATACGCCTGCTACTACAGCAAGCGCACTCTGCTCACTTGTCCAATGTATAGTTGAACTGACTAGGCGGGACACAAAACTTCATGACGTTGCCTTTCATATGAAATACTCCACGCTTTATTCCTACAATATCAGGCTGTTTGGCTCGAAATTCCATCAGGAAATTTCCGTGAATCAGCCTGTACATGCACACGAAACTTATCCGGACAGACAATAGATTTAAAAACTATTTATCCGGACGGACAATACCTTAAAAGCTGTTTGTACGGACCAACAATCCCTCAACATACTGTTTGTTCGGACAGACGATATCTGATCAAACTTCTACCGTTCGGCTAAAAAAAGCAAGAAACAGAAAAAAAATAATCGAATTTGCCAGCAAGCTAGTTGTGCCTGGAAAAAATAAGTTTCTCGTTATTTTTAATTTCAAATCAAAATCATCAAATTAAAATTCAGGTGTGAATTTGCCAAGCTTAAATTAATGTTTTTACGGTTCATGCCATCATCGAGCAATGAAATTCGCTTCCGGCTTTCTAGAGGCCTCTTCTGTGTTCAAACATACGCCGCAGACAGCGCTTCCTGGTGGAAAGCCCTCGTTGTAATCGAAACATAATCGAGCGGAGGGATTGCTGGCGAAATTCAAGAGGCATTTACGCTGCAGTGGATATCAGCCAATACATGAGCCCTTTGGTAAAGGAAATTGCGTGTGACTCCGAGGTATACATGGGGTGCAACACTCCAATTGAATCAGCTCAGTTACTCCAGTAATGTGGAGTAACGATTTCAGCTGCGGAAAAAGTATACATGTCTTAATCTATGACCGAAAAATATTACATCTTGGGCAGTTCTATGAATTATTTAGGTTTTTATGCATAAACTAACAGCTATTTATTTCAAATATTTTTCTAGCATTTGAGATCAATGCATGACGTAGTAATCCGAACATTACTAAAACCTCGTATCATAGAACATGGACACCATTGATCACATATCATTGATATCAATGGATAGTCTGATTATTTACAGTAACATTTCCATTGACGAAAAGCAAGAATCAATAAACTTTAATCTCACAAGCTTTATTTCACTTTATTAAAATGTTTCAATTCACGTGTTGAGTCATGACGCTCACATTCGACTTATTCAATTTATTTCCTTCATTCAAAATGTGAATGTTTTCCGGAACTTGGTCATCCGCCAATCACGAGTCACAATGAACTACGTGAGTCAAATCTTAAGGTCGACAAATTCCTCAACTGTAACGATTGAACCTCAGGTTCAATCGTTACAATCGCTAGGTTTGTGGATGTGCGAAAATATCACCATATTTTGCACGCGTTAAACACATCATCTCTCGGCTCAGAGATAGAACTCCTGTAAAACTTCATATTGCTAATTATCTCTCAAACTTTTGTGTTCTGACCAAAATTATCCTCTGAAAGGAACAACTAACACCGTTAAATGTAAAATTGTAATAACTGAATATGCCGGGTGATCAGGTGAGTCAAATATTGAGGGGCTGACATCTTTGTTTGAAAATATGTTTGGCAAAACGCAATAATTTTCGGTTCTATTTCCCTAACAATAGTTTTGAAGGATTTTTAATAACGATGTAGCGTTTCTATCATTTAAAGAATAATTTTCAAAGCAATCCTAATTATTGAAATGAATTTTTAATTTTAATATTTCGTTTATCAAGCGTTCGTCATAGTGAATGAATGGCATAATTGATAAAATTTATTACAATATAATACCAACAAGGTTGATGTGTCTCATTTTTATTTTTCCAGGCTTATAAACAAGCCAGTAACGATCGAAGACCTCGAGAGGGCGCACAGAATTGTCTGCCGCAACCATGCCAGGGACCGCCGGAATGCATGAAGTTCTTCCTGTGAGCTTCAAAACGGAAATGTTCACTACACTACGAACACCAAGCCATTGTGCAAAAACCATAATTATTGATTTCAAATTTTAGCCAACTTATTTAATATTCGCATCGTCGCTGGCATACCCTGAGTGAAATATTCTGATAAACAGAAAATCATTAGCCATGTCGCGTGCATCCACCATTCGTTTATCATCCACTGCGAGTGAGGAGACAACCGTGAGCCTCACGTCCCCCACGACGCCTCCTTGCACATCCCCAGTGAACCTCACGTCTCCAACCTCAGCAAACAACGCGTCTTTCCCCCAACGCTCCACGCCTGTCAAGACTCGGCCGTCCTTCACCAAGCGCTTCTCCCAGAACATGTCCCCACTTCGCTCCCCATCGTCACCTCGACCCACTCCCCCTACTTCCCCCATGCCGGGATCCCCTAGATCCCCAGCAACTCCACTATCACCCAGATCACCCAGGGGTTCTCAACCGGGCTCACCCGCTAACAACAGGTACGTACAATATTTGCAAATTGTTCTATGGGTTCAAAATTCATCTGCATACTGGTGAGCAGGGAAACAAAATAGAGTATTCAATATGAATCTCATCTATGCTACGATCAGAAACACTTAAATGAACTTTACATATTCATGCTTATGACAAAGGCCAGTATACTAGTACATCTTTATTTTTATCCTATGAACAACTTTGGCCTAGCCTGAAATAAAAATCAGTTTCGTCGTTTGAAATCAATTCCGAAAAATGAACTGATACTACGCCTGGTACAAAATTTTGGAATCAACCAATATGAACACGAATAAATAACAAAACAAGAAACATTGGCACAAAAAAATACACACACACAAAAATGAACAAAAGAACATTGGCATATTTTTATCCGATGATAGATATAGATTATTTATCGTAGAGCCTCTGGCTTAAATTGCATTTTCTATCCCACTTCCTGACTATGATGGGCGGCACTGCATCATCGTCCTCAGACTGTATACTTGACAAGAAAGATGGGATGCAAGTATGACAATTTCGCCTAACTCGTAAGACGCATATCTCGCCACCCATTCTTGCCATTTAGCTTCTTCATGATTCTGAAGTGAAATCTTAATCATGATTTCTGAGCTCGTTAATAGTTTGTGTTAGCGTACCAGCACAGGTAAACGGGTTAAATCTTACTTGAACTTATACTGTAACCAACACAGACTCCTCATTTTTATCCAGGTGTATTCAGTGTTTAACATATATGTACATCTGTTGATCCAATCTATTCAAATCCGGGGCCAGCTCAGTTAGCATGTACTCATCAGCACAGTATGCCCGAACATAATTGATTGAAGAACAGACTAAATGAAGCTATGCAGGAGCATATGTTCAGTCTTGAAATGCCTAGCACCTTACAGACCAGGCAATAAGTCCAGCAGCTACCTCAAACAATCATCAGTTGTGGAAAGATCGGGTTCCAAATGCCGGATCCCTTGTGATTCAAGTCACGAAAAATTCAAGAATCGGCAACAGGCCACGGGCCTATTTCTTCGGTGCCGATTATTCTATTCCATTCTATTCAATCACATACAAATATGGCTGGATCATGACCGAGAATCTAGTACTGAACAGTTCGTGGCTTTGAGTAGCTATTTATGGGGCCGAAAGTACATATTCTTAACAATAAGCAACTACACCAATTTATTTGAAATAAATTTGCAGCAATAAGTGGCAAACTAAAATGAAAATAAAAACTTCTTCTCAGCAGTTAATAATATTTACAAAACGCGTTTTGAGAGAATAATAAAGGACATCATTGGGGTTTGAATTGCATTATCTCTGATAATTTCAAAGACCGACTCACAACCGTGAGCAATGCTGATCGACTGATCTCTCTAGCTTAAAAATGCTCAAAATTATCGTTCGATTACAGCCTCAATATTCGTGGAGTTCGTCGGAATTTTAACTTATATTAAATAAAATTTGAAATTATCTCAAAACTGAATATCTTAAGTCGGCATTAAGCATAATATTAAATGCTTAAAGTACTGTAACGCACTTCTGCTTGATTAAACCACAGTGGCCCAGTGGTTACAGTTCAGAGTACCAAGATTGGAGCAGAGAGGCGCGGGTTCGATCCCAGCTCTGTGCGCCAGTTTCTGGTCAGAATCGGCAAGGAGGCCGGACGGTTAAGCACAGCAGAATTTGGAGCAGGTGTGTTGTGAGTTCGAGATCGCAACAAGCTGTGAATGTTCTGCGATGTTAAGAATCGCGACAAGCCTACGGCCTAATAAACGCCGAAACCGCTATGCTATGCTATGCTAAATCCCCTTCCTCCTCCCCTCACTGCCAGTCCCCGCGTAGGAGGGAAGCTGGCGTATCTGGCGAGCCGCCGCACGTCGCGGGACAGCGAGACCGGGGACGTGGCCCCGCTCGTGTCGGCGCGGTACTGCAAAAGACGGCCATCAAATTTCCTCGAGCTCCCGGGTACGGCTTGAGTTGTTCTTCTTCGTTTTGGTTATGATTACATTGGGCATTTTTAAAATCCTTGATAATGGCTGTTCAAATCTTGAAATCACGCAAATATCATAAAAGCTGATCAAAAACAAAGAAACAATCACAAACCCATTTAAGAACACTGTTCATTTCTAGAAATTATTCAATGTAATATTTTCAATCATGTGTTGGTTACCTACTGTGAGAATTTAATTGCATATTATTTATATATGTCGAAAGTATTCGTTCGTTGTAATTATTTTTTGCAAAAATTTTTCAGATAATTCGAGTGTTAAGCAGACATTATGGAAGCGTTCAAATTGGAGCACCTACATTATATTTATTTGTGTTATTCAAAATAATAAGACTTGTTTACGTACATGAGGCAGTGCCGGACCACTATCGGCCGCGGGTTTGTTCTCTGCCCGAGCAATACAACCCGCGAGCCTGTGACCAGATCTACCGACTGCGCACCTTCTCCATCACGTCCAAGGGCGTCATCAACAGGGGTGACTCTCTTATCTCCAAGCGGTCCAAGTCCAACACTTCTGTGTGCTCAACGGTATCAAGGTTAATTTTTATGTCTGCATAATGAAAGATCTCTTGATCTTTGTAGTAAGAGATCTCTTGATCTCTAATTATTGATCTCTGCAAAAGAAATTGATCTCTTGTCTGATTTACAGTACGTAAATTATTGTCTTTTCTTGCTGCTCAAACCGTTACTTGTTAGATTGATTGATTTAATTGATTCCTTAGACCTTCCAGTCGTAGCGGCCGGAGCGGGGAGAGGTCGCCGTTTGAAGGCTCGTGTTGCGGCTCTTCCTACGTGTCTTCTGAAAATTCCGTGGGCATCACAAAGTATAGGGTTAGTTCCGATAAAAAGTAGATAAATACTGTTGTATTGACTTGATTCGAATGAAAAAATTTTGGATTGGATAAAAAAGATAACTGTTCTTTATGCATTTAATAATTTCAGCTATAAAATTTGGCTAATTTCATTTTCCAGAATTGATTTTAAGGTACGTTGTTTCTTCGAGGTTTTTAAATAATATAATGACAATTACGCGTGATAAAGTTTTCTTAAATGAAATTACACATCAGTATTCCTTGAAAATTTAGATTACATACACCCAGATTTTGCATTGAGTTTCAGTTTACAAGCTCTGCCAAAACTTCTATGCAAGTAAAGCTCGCACAACATCCGAGATGGACCACAATACCCGTGCTTTAATAGCTTCATGTTTTCGCGTCTAGTTTCGCTATGAGGTTTTCAGGCAGATCTGCTCCATCATCTCGGCTTTTCCTTTATTGTTCCAAAGAGTTAATGGAGTTGGTTGTCGGGTTTTCATTTGGGTCTTCCAAGATTCCAAGTAAGACGAAACCATGAAGATTATTTCTGGGGTTTCCAAACCTCTTGACGTTATCTAAACCGAGAGAATCATTCACGATGTGAATTTTTGTTGCATTATTCTATGATACCTCTGTCGGTATTCATTATTAATCGATAATCTTATATTTCCAAGTTGTGCTCCTGTTACATGTAGCACTGCTATGTATCATTATGCTTCAGGATGTTCACAGTTCTAGCTCACTTAGGATGTTCACAGTTCTCAAGTGAACAAATTATCAATATTGCCAAAAATTTCTTGTATGGATGTGATATAATATTGGTTAAAAATTCTAAATTTTATTGTGCTCGTAACAATGACTATTTTTCGTATCCAGAATTATTTAAGTTATCATTCTTTTGTTTGCTCTATTTTTCTAAAATCTTTCCTTGTGACCCTCGAGCTGATGATTTAACTGAATAGAATAAATTAATAATAATAGTATTAATAATAATAATAACAATAATAATATAATAATAATATTAACAAGAGTACAAAGCGTCGCTTCACTCAAAACATGTATTGAATTTGAGCCCGAGTATTTCGCAACGGACAAGTTTGCTCGTATACTTTTCAGTAGCTTTTTCCTTTATGATTTTTTCGCACTTCAATATGCAGAATCCGACGATATGTAGACCAGTTCAAATAGCTTCAATGTTTAGTGTAACTAATAGCTTATTTTTGTTCACATGTTACTGGAATTGTCTTATTATTAATAAACCCTTTCGTCGCTGATACATTTATCGTTGTCAATGCTATTCGTACCTAGTGGTTTTTAATTAAAAGCATCATTTATATCAAATATAATTTCAAGTATCAATTTCGTCGGGAAGAACAAATTGATAACAACTGAAGGCTCCAGTCCAAACCTCATTCACGGCGCACCGGCTTTCATTCCTTTGCAGGTCGTCTTGCTCGGCGAGTCCGGCGTCGGCAAAAGTGCCCTCGTGTCCCAATTTATGACGTCCGAGTACATGAACACGTACGACGCTTCCCTCGGTGAGTTCAGTTCATGCAATGCTGGTTCCTGAGCTCATTATTACTGAGCTCAGCTATTATTAATGATTTACTAGTATGAACAATCAAAATTTAATCCATGGCGGGGACGAATGTTCCCATATTATTTTAATAATCAAACCTCATGAAACGATCTTTTAGGCATGCATGATAAGGATATACATGACTCAAATATTAGCCTTCTTCACTCCACTTCGCCACTCACTTAACTCGCAAAAATTTTTTAAATCCCATTCATCAGCCACAACTTTTTTAATACTTTGAAGATAGATATATGCAAGTTTTCATGTTTGCCTGTACGGTAGCAGGATATGCCTGAACCGAGGAGCATAAATATAACCGTAAGACCTTGGATTGTTTGTGATCTCATAGAATATACTGACATAAATTACTATACTCAAACAAGGAAGTAGTACACAATTTGAATGTATAACTTGATACAATTCCAAGTTATAGAATGATTTACGGAATGTTGACACATTCTTTTTCCGATGACATTAAATTAGTTTATTATGAACGAAATTGTAGTGTCAATGTTCTTTATTCCAATCCACTTCATGGCTAAGGTCGTAAAACTTTTCTGGCATCATGATCTCGTACCACCATTAGTGGTGTGCCTTCGTCGGTCTCGTCAGGCCCTGGCAATTAATGGCTCCCGTCGAGATCCTTGCAGCTGCTTAATGAAGCTCTTAATCCACACCATATCCTCTGCCCTTAGTGATAACAATAAGCGTTGCAAGGAAAACCTTTTGTTTCCCTTGGCCTGATCTAATATGTATTATCTTCCCGATCTTTTAATGTGTTAACTTTGTTGTTTAATTATTTTGAACATCAATAATCTTGCAGACATCATGATGATAAAGTATGTTATGTAGGTATAGAGGTCACCTTTTTTTGGCAGCAGCTAAAATTATGTATAATAACTCGGACAGAAAGGAACGTGAAGCATTAGTGCATAAATTAAACAGAATATTCGTGGACAAGTTGTACAATATATTTCAAAAAATCTTGTACAACCAGAGCAATGCAATGTGCAGATGGAACACAAAAGCTTCCTTGTAATCCGGGCTCTGAATATAATGGCCAGCACACATGAATTGGTTGCTATTTTGAACTGCACGAAGGCGAGGAAAGATTGTCGTCCTTTTGGCATTTCTCTACTTTTTTTCGAAAATACGGAGCCTCATTTTGTGAAGCATCGTCTTTCAGGCCGTCTAATTACTTCCGGTGCTCAGGACGAGCCTGAAACAAACTGCCCACATAAAGGATGGAAATGTCGCTACTGATACGAAGGAAAAAAAAGTGTTGACATCCAAAGATTTTCCAACCTTTCTCCTGCATCACATAAAAACTTGACTCTAATTAAGTAGTGAATTTAAAATCATGCATTCCAAAATCAATGTTAGAGTTTATAATGATGAATATAATTTTTAAGTTGACTGAGCATTAATTTTTGAAGCTTATCAGGTTTATGATAGAATATTTCATTATGAATTACTGAGAAATAACCTACTTACGAATGGAATGCCGTAGCAATATTCAAGCGGTCAATTGCACAGAAGCCACACCGGAAGGACGCCTTGTTTAATTAGTGCAAACTTGTACAGGTTCTAAAAATTTTCTCTAACTAAAGGCAACGAGAATAAAAGGTTTAATTTTTTACCAAAGCTAGTATTTGATTAACTCTCGTCTGAAGAGAAAAAAAAACATTGTTTTCATTGCAAGTAAATGAACAGAGGGTTAATGTTAATATACAGAAATTACACATGTGACTTACATCGGGAAAAGTTTATATGAAGAAAGCATGCAAATTACGTTTCGTAATATACGTAGTATGGATAAATGTTTTCAAATGTGTAAAATAAATGCTTATTGATACGCATTTAAATACCTTGGCGGTAGAATAATATCAATATGAAATCCAATACTGGCATAATGATGATAATTTCAACAGATGACGAGTTCGGCGAGAAGAGCGTCTCGGTGTTGCTGGACGAGGAGGAGAACGAAGTTGTCTTCATAGATCATCCGGCGCACGAAATGTCGGTGGGTGCCGATACCGTATCTATAGTGCACTGCTAACTCTTAAGTCGCCACCATATAGTGCACAGTTGATTCCTAAGTCGCCACCATATAGTGCACAGCTGATTCCTAAGTCGCTACCACATAGGGCACAGCTGATTCCTAAGTCGCCATCATATAGTGCACAGCTGATTCTTAAGTCCCACCATGTAGTGCACAGCTGATTCATAAGTCGCCACCATATGGTGCACAGCTAACTCTAAAGTTCCACCATTCAGTGCACAGCTAACTCTTAATTCGCCTCCGTATGGTACGTGCACAGATAACACTTTAGTCGGTCACCGTCATCCGACCAGCAGGCTAGCTGTAACCACTGATTTGCTGCCTAGGGTGGATACGTACCAATCTAGCAATGGTCTTCACGTTTGAACTGCCCAGGAGTGTAATTCACACAAGTAATCAAACTTTGTAGATGAAATAAATTTTAATAACATAAAAAACACAATTAACAGGGTATCGGATGCTATACTGCATACGGTGTCTGATTACAGTGGTCGAAATTATTTTGCATAGGTCTGAAAATTAACGGAAAAAATTAAATAAATTTAATCAAAGAACTAGCCTAAAGTACTGCGTCTCGCGCCAACCATAACAGCCGGCGTCAAGACTAAAAATAAGACATTCAGGTGTCGCAACAAGGAAATTATCAACTACAAACAAAAGTTACGCGCCATGTGTAAAAGTTGAGGCAACACTAGCCGTTAAACTCTAGTTGTGAAAATGAGAAAATGCAAAGTCATCAGTCAAAAAACTATCGTTATAGTCCTCACATTGATGGATAGGGTTATTTTAAACTTAGCTGTCATTCACGCATATCACTTTCAATTGATGTTGTTTGTCATCCGAAAACGAAATATTGTTTATTGATATCTTCATTTATTTACACAAAGTTTATACCAAGCAGGTTGAGAACTGCCTGACGACGTAAAAGTCTTCAATTGATGTACTAGATCACAATCTAAAGTAGTATTAACCTCCTCATTGACTTATTAACTCAATGTTCGTAGCTTGCAGGTTGAGAACTGCTTGACGTACTGTCTTCAATTGATGTAATTGATCACAATCGAAAGTAATTTTTACCTCCTCTTTGACTTATTAACTCAAAGTTCGTATCTTGCAGGTTAAGAACTGCCTGACGACGTACTAGTTTTCAATTGATTTAGTTGATCACAATCGAAAGCAGTATTGACCTCCTCATTAATTTATTTACTCAATATTCGTATCTTGCAGGTTGAGAACTGCCTGACGACGTACGAGCCGCACGCGTGCGTGGTGGTGTACGCGGTAACAGACCGCGCGTCGTTCAAGAAGGCGGAGGACGTCTTGAACTACCTCTGGCGGGAGAGCTGCGTTGACAAGATGGCAGTCATACTCGTCGGCAATAAAGTGGACCTCGTACGCAACAGGAGCGTGTCCAGCGAAGGTATGGTGTCTTGTAATACCAAGGACTACATTACATGATTTTATCGAGTCACTGCATGATTTCACCGAGTCACTACAATGATAACATCGAGTTACTGCAGTGATTAAATCGAATTACTGCATGATTTCAGCGAGTCACTGCATGATTTCATCGAGTCACTGTATGATTTTATCGAGTCACTGCATGATTTTACCGAGTCACTGTATGATTTTAGCGAGTCACTACAATGATTACATCCAGTTACACACTGCATGATTTCATTGAGTCACTGCATGATTTCATCGAGTCACTGCATGATTTCATTGAGTCACTACAAAGATTTTTTCGAGTCACTGTATGATTTTATCGAGTCACTGTATGACTTCAGCGAGTCACAAAAACAGCGAATTTAATTCAGTTGATATGATTTCAACCATTCTAGGTCTCTATATTAGGTATTCCAAACAATTTGTTTGCACAAATTTCCAAAATCTATTTTTAAGTCCAAATTAAATAGCTAATCCACTAAAAAATAAACAAAAATTAATCGTATCTAAGAATAAAAAGTGTCAAAGCTAAGCTCTATCCCAGTTCGAAAATTCAGGAACATGGATGCAATCCGTAGTTAGTACAGAATTACTTAAAAAAATTCATAATTTTTTCGGATGATTCATATTCATACAAAGAAACTCAGACTATGAGATAACCAATTAAACATAATAATTTAAATTGCAAATTAAATTCATTCATGCTCACCGAAAGTTCGAAACGCTTGAATTGCAAAAACACAAATTCATCACCGAGAATCAGCTCTATTTAATTGCTGCTGTCATTAAAATGCTTCAGAATTAAGTTTATATCGAGCAGCATTTTGTATTAATCTACTTCGCAATTTAAACACTGGGTTTGATTTCGAGGTTCATCTCTGACCTAATTTCGTTCCCGCGGAAAAAAACCCGAAGCAACAAGATGTCGGGACTCAATCGCTGCAAAGAAACTTTTCGCTAAAAATAATGTTAAAGCTGACCTCGGCGAACTCGATTCGCGACCAAATACAACAACTTACAAATAACAAGCAAACCGATAATAGCGTACGAAAATCTCAAAGAAAATTACTGACTTTTGAGACTGTCTGAAGAAAGTTGCACGGCTTGTCTTTCGGACTTTGATTTTTTATTTAATAATTTTACCCGCCATCGCAATAAATGACTTATAATAGCAGAGCATTAATAACAAAACAATTCCATTCATTACACCTCCGAATGCATGATTTGTTCATCAATAAAATTACTTGGACAGAAAAAATAAAACCTCGGAAATACAGTATGTCCAATTCATTATAAGACGACGAATATGTACCTTAAATGATCTTTAATTTAATTGATTGATGATGACCGGCAGAAGGCAAAGCAGCGGCCACGCACCACGACGCGAAATTCATCGAGACGTCGAGCGGCCTCCAGCACAACGTGGATGAGCTGCTGGTGGGGGTCGTGAAGCAGGTGGGTGGATGGGCTGCTGGTGGGGGTCGTGAAGCAGGTGCGTGGATGAGCTGCTGGTGGGGGTCGTGAAGCAGGAGCGTGTGAGGCAAGAGGCGTGTGAGGCAAGAGGCGTGTGAGGCAAGAGGCGTGTGAGGCAAGAGGCGTGTGAGGCAAGAGGCGTGTGAGGCAAGAGGCGTGTAAGGCAAAAGGCGTTAGAAGAATTATATTAAAGATTTAGGCAGTGCCGGTCATTATTGCAGTACTTTTAGTACTGCAATAATGAACTTTGTTTTAATACTTTTATAGTATTTGTACTCAGGCTCATCATAGCATTCTGTTCAATTCCACTGAAGAATTTTCTAATGCGAGTTGAACGTTTCGATTGAAATTCACACTTTCCCTTATCCAGCAAAAATCAAACAGGCAAATACGACAAGCATCCACATTGTCATAGCCTCAAGGAAAATTCTTTTGCGATCAATAATAATTTCTGTTTGAATTATTTTTTTATCCTAAAATAATCGCATTAATCCTACATCTTTTGGGCAGATTCGCCTGCGTTTGGCGGCCAAAAAGAAGCGCTTGAAGAAACTCTCGATGTCACGTACATCGCTGTCGCTGCAGGCTGCCAAGGACATATTGCACAAAATGTGCACCATAGATTCTAAGTCCAAATCTTGCGAGAATCTCCACAAGCTTTAAAGCTTGTGTCTAGTCTCTTTGAATTATGAATAATGAATTAGAATCTGCACTGTTTCTCTCGGGAGCTTCAACACATTTCTCTCGAACTCAGGCTTTCAGGCTTTTCTTAACGTTCTGTTCAATTCCACTGAATAATTTTCCGATGTGAGTCGAACGATTCGTTTGAAATTCTTGATAGAATTTTATTGTTAGATTCAACGCTTCTTCTAAATAATTGTGAATGTTTCCGAAATGCTTAAAAACACTTGAACATGTTCGCACCAGCTAATCAAACTATAACAATAATCAGCTATTTCCAAAATTTCTCGCAATTACTCAATTGTAATCGTGACAATAATCGTAAAAGATATATAATCAACTGTTGCTAAGAAAAAGTGTGAAGCGGTAGAGTGGCTAATAATTGAAACTTAACATATATTTCCATGCAAGTCAATAGATTCTTATACTTTGCGTTTAATACATTAATGTTGTATATATTCACTTACCATTTTTCTTCATTATCATCACCTAAATTTTAGTTATTTACTGTTAATATTATTTAGTTCATGATAATTTTTACATGTTTCGAATTGTTGCTGGATTGTCTGTCCACGTCATATACTCGGGCTTCGGATCCCAGCTCGCAAATTTTAGCGAGGCAGCCTCATCTATCAATAAAATTAGTTATTTACTACCATATTTTCCAATGCTATCTGCAATTACCACTTTTTATGCTCAAACATTTCACCATCGACAGAATTTGTTCATATTTTAAAATGTTTCATTTGAATGAAATTGAAAGGGTTAACTATCAATAATTATTATTGTTGTAGTTTGTTACTTCGCACTCGTTTAAGCGTTCAGGACACGCAGCGCGCATTAATTAATGTTCGAGATAATTAATCTCGAATAAATTCCATTTATTAAATTCACGAAACGGTCCTTCAGGGTTGCATTATACATATTGTATAATAAATAAACTTAGAGTTTGTACAAATTCACGCTAACAGATATTCAAATCTGATAATAATGCAGTGGAAACGAAAGACCTTGAGTTTCTGTCGGAATTTCGGGATTTAATTTAAATTTGCAACAAAATATTGAAGCAGTAAGGACGTATCAAATCGAAGAGAAAAATATTCGTATATGCAGATTATCAGTGAAATTTGAAGACTCGAAATAATAGTTTACCTACTAAAATTATCCCGAAAGTAAAGAATTGTCGTTTTAGTATGGAATTTTTTCGACACAGATCGACCATGAAAAATTCGAGCAATATCTGATGTTCAAATGGAATTCTAGATAATAAATATGTTATAGATATTAAAGATTTACAAACCTAAAAGCTGTTTTCAAATTGATTTGAAAAAATTCTGCGAGTGGTTTTTTACGGCAAAGTGTTTAGGCAAAATATAGTTATTCTGCCAGTTTCATCATATCTATTTTTTAGGCACGTGTGTAGGTAACTGTGTAGCGTATTCACTGAATGATCTACCTCTATATATAAATGACTATTTTTCTAACTGATGATTTTATTTTTATCTTAAAAGTCCACCGCACGAGTCTCGTTGTATAAGGATATCTTAAGAAAAAATAGCGCTCATAGATATATAGGGAGGCAATTAAATATATGTAGCTTCAGAGTATATTCAATGCTATGCCTTGCCTTGTAGTGTGTTCCTCTCGTATAATATTTTTAAAAAGTGTCGTGTCATTTGCACAATGGGAAGAGAGATTAAATTGCCACTAGAACATGTGAAACAAATATGTGCAACCAGCAGTGAACTCGAATGAAATGGAATGAAACAGCAGTGAATGGAATGCTCTGTCAATCTGTAATAAACGCTTTATATGTCAGTAATCAGTATTTTACAATGAGTATGAGGTCACTGAGCTCATCTGTATTTCCTTATTCCTGTACATGACTCATACATTGACTGCATAGCTATGAAGCGCAGCATGACTCATACATTGACTGCATAGCTATGAAGCGCTGCATGACTCATACATTGACTGCATAGCTATGAAGCGCTGCATGACTCATACATTGACTGCATAGCTATGAAGCGCTGCACGACTCATACATTGACTGCATAGCTATGAAGCGCTGTATGACTCATACATTGACTGCATAGCTATGAAGCGCTGCATGACTCATACATTGACTGCATAGCTATGAAGCGCTGAATGTAACTCAATAGTTCTCAACCAGCAACTTTGTAGCATTGATACGCTAATTGCCATAGCAGCAACTAAATTAGACTGGTAATTGTCGGCCTAATTTCTTCATAATTATAACTTAATTTTAAGATTTAATCATCGCACCAAACGGGACAACATCGCTATATCCGCTGCTGGTCTAATTCAAAGCAATCAAATTGCAATTGAATGTTATCCTGTTTTGCAACTCCATTTCGATCCTGCCAAATATCAATTGAACCTATGGGATTCAGAGGTAGACGGTGGTGCATCTGCCTATTTATTATTAATACTAGTGCATAAAATAATCAAAATTGATCTCCTAGTATGATTTGTAAAAGTTCTTTAACATTTAATGAACTAATTATGTAGTAGCTAGTTGGGGCACATTTTTTGTATTTCTTCCTTTATCCCCGTTAAATAACATTGAAGACAAATGAAACGTTTTATTAACCTATTTTTCCTTGCAATGTTAGGTTTATAACTGAATTAAAAATCTGAATTACTTAGTAATTATGTTTTTAATTTATTAACAAACTCTAACATTGAGGAGTCGAGAATATTTTGTCAAGACCAATTGGCGAAGAATTAACAAGATATTTTGCACGGATTTTAAATGCATGGATTCTTTACATGAGAACCCAATTTGTAAAATTTTGTTATTGGTGCATCTTCGATACCGTGGATACATTTTTCGCAGATAAATGCTCATATACTTTTATATCGGTCTAAGATTATCCATATTATTAACAGAAATAAAATATTTTCTTGAATAATGCGCCGTGGATACTGAAAATGAACTCAATTTTTACAAAAAATAATTTTGTTCAAAGAAAACATGATGAAAGACTCGCATCAACGTAAAGGTTTATTAGTCACGACATTGTTCATTGGGTTTATACATTTAATGAAATCGGGACATTAGAATACATTACCGGCAAGTCTACAGTAAATTAGCAGTAAGAAATTTTAAAAATAAGTTGGAATGAAAGTCACTGATTGCATATGCATGAAGTCAAGTGGCGCGGCCTGCGCTATATTGCCATCAAAAAACCTGCTGGTTAGAGAATTTGATTATATTTCGACGTCCCTTTATTTGCGGTAGAAAAAATAAAAAAAAACTATGATAATTTAATCGTCTTATGAATCTATGGTGTTGAATTATTGCTTGAACCAATAGAAGAATTATTGTTTGATTTCTTCGAACTTTTCGTAAAGTTTCCTCGAAAAATATTTAATGCGATATAAATTAGGGTTTCGGAATTATCAGCATTGGACATCATTGAAAAGTTATATCACTTTTCCCTCCATCAGTCTTTGAACTCATCATCAGTCGTGAAACTCGTCATAAATCTTATATATCTCAATCAGCCGTGAAACTTGCCATGAATTTTGTATAATTCCATCTGTCGTAAAACTCGCCATATATCATATATACTCAATTAATCGTGAAATTTGCCATAAATCATATAAATCTTTTTCGGTTGTAAAACAAAGTCTTCTCGAGCAACAACAGTCAATACTCATTTTTTTTTCTAAATACCGATCAGCCGATTATTTCTTTCACTTAATACATTCAGCAGCCCACGAATGACGTTTAGATTTTAGGCACCAGAACTGAAGATAGGAATAAATCCGCCCTGAGGGGAGCTCACTTGGCCTCAAAAGGGGTGCTTACGTGGCCGCAAAAGGGGCGCTTACTTGGCCTCAGGTAGGGGCGCTTAATTGGCCTCAGGTAGGGGCGCTTAATTGGCCTCAGGCAGAGGCGCTTAAGTGGCCTCAAAAGGGGCGCTTACTTGGCCTCAGGCAAGGGCACTTAAGTGGCCTCAAAAGGGGCGCTCACTTGGCTGCAATAGGGGCGCTCACGTGGCTTCAGGAAGTTCGCTTAATTAATTGGCCTCAGTGAGGCGCGATCACTTGGCCTAAATGTTGTCAGAGCGACGTATGGAGGCCATAACGAGTTCAATGTTGTTGCCTCGCCAGTAATTATTCAATGTGTTAAACAAACGTATACAAAGGTAGAGTTACGCAGAATATACAGGCATAATACAGGATATAATCATCAGTCAGGCTACAATTTTTTTATGCTTGTCTTCATCTCGGTTACTCAAAATTTAACCTTTGACGTCTTCACCAAGTTATTGAAGCAGACGCCAAGACTTTTTTGTCATAATTTAAAAGTGCAAAACTTGCTAAATTTTGACTGATGCGATGTAGGCTGATCTAGATGCACGCTAGCGAAAGTAGGATAAGAGTTTAATATTTTTACATCACATTAAAACTATATTTAAGATATATGAATTGATGAGATACTCCGCATAATATCTCCCAGCTATCGGTTTTTTTCTCGGGTTGGCCATGGACCTGCAGTTCATTTTCTGTGTCCAAAATTCAAGGGAGACTCAAATAATGAGAACCTTTTGATATAAATGGCAGTAGTATAGTATAGTATAGTATAGACTGTATAGTATAGTATAGTATAGTATAGTATAGTATAGTATAGTATAGTATAGTATAGTATAGTATAGTATAGTATAGTATAGTATAGTATAGCCGTGGTTGCTGGTGTTTGCGTGCCAAGGCAGACATAAAAACATACTCATCTGAGCTCAAAATTCAGGACGATATCATGCGTGGCTAACAAGAAAAACTTTCGTGTATCTGATCCAGTGTACTTCGAATATGTCGGAACACTTAGAAAATAATATTCAAAAAATTTTCTGGGTCGACGATCAAATCAATGCACTAGCTTGATAAAATTTCAGTTTCTCAAGTAATTTAGATGCTTATAGCGGCTGCTAAATCGAACAAGAAATCGTTCATTACAAGAGGTGATTTTTATTCATTTTAGTCAATAAACTTTCCAACGCATACCATCTCTGACTAGCGTCATACCGAATCCCGTCATCCCAATTCCCGTCATCCCAACTCCCGTCATCCCAACTCCCGTCATCCCAACTCCCGTCATCCCAACTCCCGTCATCCCAACTCCCGTCATCCCAACTCCCGTCATCCCAACTCCCGTCATCCCAACTCACGTCATAATTATGAAACTAATATGTACGGCAATTAAAGGAAGTCTTATATCAACTCATACTTTAGGAAATATAATAAAAGTTTAATTTTTTATGCAGCTTCCACTTGAGACTTCAAGCCTCATATGCACCAGCCTGTCATCGTGATGCCTCAGCCTCATGGTCAATTATTATTATTGTTCCTCTATTAGTCTATTTCTATTACATCCAAATCTCATTGTAAAATACTTACCTGTGGCATGTAATTCATCTTATTTTGATT